AAGATGCATTTGAATGTGTTTTCCTGCCGTTTGGCTGTGGTAAGATGGCTCTGTTGTGCACAAGGAGATGTGGTTACTCTACCTCGTAGCAAACTGTGTGTACAGGTTGTTCTAATCTTAGGAATGCGAGCCAGATGTGTTGTTTTAATTTAACAACTTCACAATTTCAACAGTATTGTAGTTTAGAAATAACTCATTTAGAAGTCTCTTGCTAACATCAGAATTGTGTCGCTGTAGCTTTATAGCACAGCATAAAGATTATATAACATTGCAAGTAAAACAGCCTCATTGTTAAGGATGAGGAAGCTTAGCTAGGATATACTTAGATGACACATCCCTGCCCAGGAAAAGCTGTCATATTGCATGTGTTCGTGGCATCTTCTGTCACTTTTGCCTTTTTTTTTTTTTGTAAGCAAAATTGTTAGTAAAATGTAAGTAGACCCTCTTACAGAGGATGCAATGGAATGTCTGAACAGTGAGATCCTGTGTGTGTTCTTCTAATATGCTGTGGTTTTCCTAAATGATTTGATAAGCTTTGAAATTGTTCCAGCGGCAGGAGCGCAGGGCTTTATTCTCTTCGTGTTTGGTGTGTTTATCAGTAGGCTAAATTCTTTGGCAGCATTCTGGTACAGAAGCTACAGATGCGTTCGTGTTGACAAAGGTCCCGATCTGTTCTGGTGCTGATACAAAGGCTCTCCAGAAGTGCTGATCCCATGAATTGTAATTGTCTCTGGGTTGGCTGTAAACATTCAGCCTTTGTCCCCAGGCCTGGGTACATGCTAGGTGTGATGTCATCGCAGCATGTCACATCTCGGTGAGCAATTGCGTTAGATTTCTGAGCTGTGCGGCGTGCATCGGCTTGTGAAAGCTGATCCAGTCTAAGCACTGTAGCCTTTACCTCCTGTGATGAATTTGTGCTTTTACTTGGAGAGAGCAGGAAAATGTCATGTTGCAGTGGTTACATAAAAGATCTCAAACATGTATATGGGTGCTGAGATCGATGATACAAAATCACTGTATGCCAGTTGTGTAGTGAAAGGCTCCAAATAATGTTTTTTTAGCCACTGAGAATTAATAGTAAAATAACTGCTATTCTAGGGTTCCTCTTGTGCAATGTTATCTCTGTGTTTGGGAAGCTTGTGTTCATTACAATGACACAACTCAACTCCATCTCTCCTCTCTATAGGATGCAGGTATGGAAGAACAGGCTGACTTAATCCTCTCAACAGAATTAGCTGATGGGAAGTTTAGTTGTTTGACCTTACAAACCATAAGCTTAGTTTTTCATTGCATGCTATGGTGTTACAAACTCATGAGCTTGTTTATATCTCAAGATCAGAATGTTTGAAGCTTGTGTGTGAATTCTGTAGTTCAAAATATAGTGACTCATGTCCACGTGAAACTCAGCTGCTCCAAAAATATGGATTATTTACAGATCTAGAGAAACTTGGTGCCATTTATGTTTTTAAGTTAAATGAACATATTTATTGGTAAGTCTGAAGAATTAAAAAGTGTTGCAAGGGAGTTTGATTAACTTTTATTTTATTATTAAGCATCTGTTGTGAAAAACCTGGAATACGTAATTAAATATCCATATGTCAGAAGTCTAAAATTTGAAATCTTTTCTGATAGAGATGAGTGAATATGCTCTCACAGTGTTTAAGAAAAGCCTTGCTGATAAATGCATTGTTGCCATTCACGTTTCAAAAGCTAAAGCAGACTAAAAATTTGGATATCTAATAATTTTTAGAGTATAGTCATTCATATGTGCTGTACAGCAATAATGCAGACAGTATCAAATCCTAGTATGTTTTCTCACATAGGGCAGGACTTGCTTTCACTGCAGAAAATAGAGTTGGAATGCCAGGAAAGGCTGAGAAGGACTGTCATTCAGTGTGGAAGGTATCAGCACACTCAGGTAGCCGCTGCCATGTATTTAGACACATAGTGGGATTGCTCGATCATCAAATCTGCGCTGTCAGTCATGTCCCTCTCTGACAAAGGACTTGCTGCAAGTGTTTTGGAGATTTTTGTATGGGTCCCCCAGGCTGGGTTAGATACTGATTGCAACCAACAAATATACTGCTGTGGGTTTGTTCATTAAATCCTTCTGGGTGAGAAAGGAGAAACAGAATTGTTGGGAAAGAAGAATATAGATGGTGAAGAGCTGAGCTTCATTCCATAAGCAGTCTTCAGAGTCCGGGTGTGGTTTAGAAGAGTGGACTGACAGATGTTTATCTTCTATAAATCATTGCAAGTAATAGACTTGTTTAGACCTGGACTAACATAATTAACAAATGGTTGATTTAAAAAAAAAAAAAAAGAGCCAAAAGTACCTGTTAGGAGAATGTGCATACGCAGTCCAAATGTTGACTCTATCTGGAGAATATTTTCATTCTAATGAGTCTGAGGATTTTATGAAGCAGATGGCTCAATGAGTCTTGGAAGGGGTTTTGCTTGTTCTCTGTATTTTCTGATGGGATTGTTGGCATGATCTAAAGTCACAGTAGTAGTGTTTACCCTGTTACCTTTTTCTTAGCTTAATGAGCTAGCCAGAGGAGTTCAGGCAGTAGGACCATGGTTAGCAGAGTCTCACTTCTGGTGTTCCCCACTGTGCCTAAAGATCTAGTGTGCAGTAGGAAAGTCTTGAGGTGAGAATATTGCACTGTTGCAGAAAACTTACAGGTAGGTTGTATGTTATTAAAAATGAATGAGATGTCATCAGTATGAAACCTGGAGTATCTTTAATGAAGTGTAGCTTCTAAAAATGATAATATGGGAACCCAGTGGCGGCTGGGAATTCAACGTTTTTTCTCCAGCAGTGGTAGTGGTGAGTGTCTTAAGTGAATCTGAGGAGAAAGTACACTTTTTCAAAGTACTGTATTTGGCAAAGGAAGAAAGTGATTAAACTACACGTAACTACTCATCTGTTTGCCCTCCGTAACCTTAAAATCTTGGCAAGCTGAGCACTGGACTTTGTTGACAGCCATTTGAGATGTTGGGCCTTAAGTAGTCAAGAACAGATAATTCTAAGGCCTCTGCTTTGTGTATGGTATGCTTCGAAGTGAAGCTGAAAGGTATAGTTTGTCCCTTCATAAAGATACAGGGAATATAATGTATTCTTCTAAGATATTTTTAGCTGTGATTTTAAAAATATATATAAACTGGCTGGGGGCGGGGGGGCATTGAGCTTGTTTAAAAGTAAATTTATGCAAAGGCTTCAGTTTACAGGTGGGAGTTGTAGACCTCTGGAGTGTGCTGCCAGGTGGGAGCTGATGTCCTGTATCTGTTCACATGATTTCTTTTGTGAGGTTCAGCACTTCAGCTAGAAGGTCGGTTGGGAAGTAAGCTTCATTTCATTAAAAGGCAGTTCTTCCATGCTTGGATATTTCTTCAGTTTTGACATGGATAGTGTTCCACATTCTAGTAAACCCAGCATCTTTGGAATGACAGAAGCTAGTTTAGCTGGGAAGGTCTGGGTTTTTCTTTTGGGACTTGCACTTGGAGAGCTTGCTGAGGCTAGGTTTGCTTGGGAATCACTGAAGACCAGGCAGTAACTGACGGACAGGTATGATGTCTTGGTTCTGTGAAACTTCTTACTGCTGTCTTGAAAACCGTAAAGCAAAAAATGTACAATGCAATCAAGGAGGTGTAAATATGTAAGCACAGTGCACATTTTGGAGTTGCCTGTTAGGGTAGTAGTAGGAACCTTGACACTCTGGAGCACTGAAGAGTGAAGCATGATTTGGTGTCTCCGGAATGAGAAACATGGAGTTTTTCCTTTTAAATGGCAGTGAGGGAAATGAATGAAAACTCCCTCATGTTATTTTCTAAGACCTGAGGATATGAAGATAATATCTGAGTGCTAAAACTGAGGTTCAGCAATTTGTTCTCTGTTACTAGAATTTAATTGTGTGACAAGTTGAGAATGCCTTAAATAACTACAACAAAACAAACAAATATGTAAATGATATGAAGGGACATTTACTGTTGAGTTGGAAATTACACTGTTTCCTCCACCTTCACAATGTTACCAAACCTGTGCTTGGAAAACATTGTAATTGATTTTTGAAATGTCTAAACAAGAGGTAAAGGACTTCTGTTTACCTAAGGGCTGTGTGCTGTGGCAGCTTAGTAACAGAAATATCACTTGTCATGGATTGTGTGAGTGGTTGTGGGCTGCATCTGCTCCATGTGTTGTATGTGCCCTAACCATGGTTTTTTTTTTCTGGAAAACGGAGTATTCTTCTAATCCTGTGAACCCCTTGGACCTCACTGTCACTAGGATGTGTTTTGGCACCTGCCTAAGAACTGTAGGACTCTATTGATGGAACAAAGTTATTCTGTAAGCTTCCTTGATAGGGTTATATGCAATAATTGTTTGAGAAATCTTTCAAAAAGGAACGTCCTGTATGAGCCTTGATGGTAGAAAGGTAGAATTGCAGATTTTTGCATCATGATCTGCCCACTAACTTGTTCTCCAAGGCAGGGGATTTGAACAGTTTGAGCAATCCTGTTAGAGGAGGAAATCTAAAGACACCAGGTTTTGCTGCTTTCACAGCTTTTATTTGGAAGAATCTGTATTTTTATGAAAAAATCTGCATCAATATCGTTTTAGTCTTTGATGTGTACCACTTGTGATCCTATTTTTTTTGGTTAATAATCACCTGTACTGCATTTCTGAATTTGTCCCTCCTATTCCACCCGCCCCCAGGGTTTTAAACTTTTCAGCACTGTTTCTTATTTGTGTCCTTCATCTGATCAAGATGAAAATAGGATGGAATACTAGAAGAACCAGTTGGCTGGATTTCTTACAGCTTCTCTTGCGTTGCCTAAAAAAGCTGTGTTAAAAGCTTCTATGTTACCTGACCTAGAGTAAGATAAAATTTGATGCTAGTACTGTGTTGTGAAATTTTGGGGTTGAATGAGTTTTAAAAGCTTTATGGGATTTTTGTTTATTTATTTATTTGTTGGGTCTTTTGTGTTGTTTTTTTTAACAGGAGTCTTACCCTTCTTCATCACCAATATGGTTTGTAGAATCAGATGACCCAAACCTGACTTCAGTCCTAGAGCGTTTAGAAGATATTAAGAAGAGCAATACTCTGGTGAGCAAGTGTTCTGGTTGTTTTGGGTGTTTATTTAGACTTGTCACATTAACAAGCATACTTGACCTTCAATAAGGATGTGTAAATTTCTTTTTCTAAAGAATATTTAGGATGCATTTGAGTTCTAGCAGAAATAATTAGAAAATTAACAAGCGAGAGTCTTCATGTGCCTTACTGTAATTGAAAACAAAAGGGCATTGCAGAGGAACATTAGTGTTTAAATGTATTGTGTTGGATTTTATTACAGGAGACATACCTATCAGTTGTGTATTTTCTTTTTACAACCTAAACTTTAGACTGAACTACATTTAGTAGAGTGTTATAGGTCTCTTAGTCTTTGTGACTTCTGCCTGAAAAGGCATATGAGAGTATAGTAGCAGAGAATGTGGCCAAATCAACTTTTTTCGTAAATACACTCTTCAGAAGGTTTTCCGGCTTGAAGTGAGTATGGCTAGTGGCTTCAAAATAAAGGTTTTAAACAAGGTATTTCCTATGTTTAACTACCTACAGGTTTTCTTTCTTAGGGTAGAAGGCTTTATCTGCTGAATTGCATACGCACATAGTCTGCTTATGCACGGTGTAAGAAAACAGCTTCTGGTATCAAGATTGTACTTGCCCATGTGAAAGCTGATGGGCTGATGTAATAGACACCTGTGGATGGCCTGTTGGTTTCTCAGGAATCCACCCCACATCATGTTATGCCCAGATGAAGACAGATGGGAGTGGCAACTCAGACTTCTCGGAGTAGGGTGGGAAGACATGAGGAACTACCTGTAGAAATCCAGAGGCTTCTGATTTATCATGCTATCTCCTAAAAACTTATTTAGATCAGTTTAGACTTTCAGAATGTTTCAAACCAGTTTTCATTTAATGTATTGCAGCTAAAAGATCGTTTGTGCCATGTTGCTCCAAACTCATATAGTTGTTGGAACAGTCAAATTTTGAATGGGAAGTTGCATTGGATTGTTCTAGGAGCTCAGCTGAGCACCGCGAACATGTGCTAAAAGCATTGCCAGCACATGTACTCTGATTTAAAGTTCTTTGGTATTACTCTGCTCTTTGTACTTTGTAGCTTTTGACAAGTATCAGCTATTTGGGAAGCTGAAGAACAGGCTCTTCAGGCAGAAAAGTTTGACAGGGCTGTTTTTCCTATTTTAAAATCATTCACATTTTTCCTGGAAAATCTTCCATGGGTCTGAAACTGTGCTGCTTACCTTGGCATCAGGATGGTGCTTTTTGGTATGAAAATTCCTCAAAACACCAAAAATGTTGAAAGGTTGTTAAGGACATGATCAGCATAGGTAGCATTAGGTTTGGAGGCTTTAGCTGCTTGACTGTTCGTAGAGAACAAGTTCCAGTCATCAGATGAAGGGACTACAGAATTCTTTCTGACCCCTAGTGTCTCCTGAATTCCTTTTCAGATCCTGAAAATCAGCATTGGCTTGGACTTGGTAGGTAACAGAAACTGACAGCTGCCTTCTAGTGGTTGTTCAATGCAAAAGATAAATTGTACATCAATTTTGTTGTTCTGTTTAATGTCATGGAAGTTAGAGTTGAAAGTCTAAAGTCTCAAATCGTACTTTGTGGGTTATGAAATATAATTATACATGATTTGGAGGTTTGCTTTTTAAAGACAATAGTGAAATGGAGTTATGAATGAATGGGCAGCTCATACTCCCCAAACTTTGAAGGCTTGCATGGAAGACTTAAAAAGTGTAGAATTCCTGGCCGAAGTGTAACACTTTATCCAAGTATACAACTTGGCTAAGATGTTGTCCCTAAGCATGCTACTTCTGTATTAAGAATTTCGATTTAGTGGCATTTCAGGAAAGAATGTCGGCCCTTGCAAACTGCCAACGCAGCACCAACTGATTGTGTGTTGGAGATCATGGAGACAAAATGCAGGAAGCAGCTTCGCTTTGCTTTCTGAAACCACCCAAAGCTGCTGAAGGTGTGCGAGGCCAGTTCCTGGCACAGACTACTACCTCACTGCTAAGCAGTGGTCGTACTCCAAACGACAGTTAGTTCTTCCCTCTGTTTCTTGTGTCTTCCTTCAACAGTTTCCTTCAGTGCTAGACTAAGATTCATTGATTCATTTATTTATTTTTATATAGGTAGTGTGTGTTTATATGTATGTAGATAGGTACATGTAGAAGAATAAGTGTGTATACTTACTGTATTTCTTCAGCCCGTGTTTCTTAGCAATTGGAAAACAAGGTGCTTTGCAGTGAACCTAGCAGTATATTAATATCATTAAAGATATCCTAAAATTGTTAATGCTGTCCTACTGCATTAGAAAGGTCTCTTAATGCATAGAAAGGCCTCCTAGTGTAGGTTAAGTTTCAGAAAGATTGTTCTAAACTGTTTTCAGATTTATAAGATGTTAACCCAGGAAATAAAAAATTCTGAGAGATTTTTGTGTTCTAAACCAGCGTTATGGTGTCCATAAGAACTACCAACTTCTCAGAGCTCCTGAAGCATTAAAAGTTGTATTATAGATGTAGATATTGTATTTTTATATTTTGTTGTTATTTTTATATTACTTATAATCAGTATCATTAGTTTATAAATTTGTCATTGTATTTGGTCACCTTACGCACGCTATTTACGTTGCTGCTTTAATGCCCTGTGCATTATGCATTCTGGTAGCTAGTTAGTTGCTGCTTTAGGCAGTTTGTATTCCAGGGAAACTGTTGGTCTACTGATAGCCCACTTTTCTTCGGTAGCTGCAAAGCATTTGTGTTAAGCATTCATTTTACATTAGCTAAGCATGTGAAGTTAGCCTGGAAATACATTTAAATGATTAATACATGGCAGAAATCTGCCGTCTCTTTTGGTACAGTCTATTCATGTACCATTAGCACATACCAAATCATGCTAGGTGCTGCTTGGAGCAGGGGATTGGATCAGATGACTTCCAGATGTGCCTTTCAGCCCAAATTTAACCTGGGATTTTTCATACATTTGGGCAGAGTGTAATGGATAATGATGATGGTGATTCACTGCAGAAGGATCAAGGGTGTGAAATGAATTCCTGTGCAGGAAAACATAGTGATAAGGAAGAAGGGTTGTAGAGATGGGATCAGCCTCTTGGTCTGCCCCAACCTCTGGAGATCATACAAACTGATGTCAAGTAAAGCAACTTAGCTATACAAGTGAAACCGCAGTTTGACAGTTGCATTAAGCTAACCCTGAAGTGTAGACTGCTTCCAGGAAGGGGGGGTCCCTGCTCTCGGCCGCGCGTTCCTACCTCCCCCTTTGTGGTGAAATCAGTGCTTATGTGCTGATGAAGCACATCAGGAGTTGATCTTCCTCGAAGCTTGTAGGCTGCTGCATGGTTGTGTCATTGATCTCTGGTGCCCCTGCAAATGGGAAGGTGGAAATGTGCTGCTGGAGGCAGGGAGACACCTCTTCAGGCACAGCCCCTGTGGGGTTTGGTCCAGGCTATGCCAGCGGTTTGTTGCTTTGAGAGTGCCGCTGTACCTCCCAGTGGTGCTGCGCTCAGAAGGAAATGAGAGGAGCTTACAATGTGTTAGGTCCTGGCTGCAAACATTCCTTCTGAATTTCAATTCAGGTGACAGGACCTCTCATGAAGAGGATGGGGAGTGGAGGAAGCAGGGCAGGAAGCAGTTCTTACCTCTTTTCCCAGCCCTTACTCCCTCTTTCTGCAGAGACACATCTAGTATTGTGTTCATCTGCTTTTCCAAGCTTTGGACTAGCTAAATGCTGGTGATGGTATTCTTCCTCCACTATTTAGAATATTTTGTATGCTTCATATCAGATGTAAACAAATTAATGGCTTGCCTAGCTTTACGTAACTACGAGGAAAAAATTACAGTTACTGAGATTTGATAGCTTGTGCTCCAGCTCTGCATGAGGCCGTGTTGTTTGCGCAGAGAGTAATTTTCTTAACGAAACATGTAGCGGTGCAACTTTAAGCATCTTACAAATACCAAGAATAATAGTTCTAAGACCCGTGGCTCTATATGTCAACTTTTTGATTGATTAAGCTGCTTTTTGCCTGCTAGAAGATGTTTCAGACACCCAGGAGGTTTCAAACACATGTAGAGTCTTAAAAGTGAGAATTGTGATTGTTACGGAAAGCTTCTGGCAACACAAACTGTCGCATCTCATGTATAGACTTTCAAGAAATGTGTTGCTGATCCACCAGTTCTTTTGGTGTCATCTGCTTTATTTTTGAGTTAAGGGTGACTGTGATGAATGATGAGAAACAGCAAACGTGGTGTGATAGTACAGAACGTTGTGATTTGTGTAATGCAGGCTGGTATGTCAGTTCATGGCCTCTCAGTAAATAACATTCCTATTGAACAGGAACGCTGAATTCTGCTGGAGAAGGGAAAAGCTCAGAAGCTTTCAGATAGCATAAGGGCAACATATGCTTATTACTGCTAGTGATTTGGGCTTGGAAATGAGTTTTTAACCCCGGAGAGCCTGAATTTTCACTTGCAGTAGGGTAAGGTAAGAGCATTTAAACAGGCCAATAGCAGAGCTTTAGACATGTAGAATATTTTGGAGTGACTAAGTTTTTCTTAAGTAATTTATTGTGTATTTTAAGAAATACGGTATACAAACACCAAGTAGTGTTGTACAGGTATAATTCTCTTGGGATAACACAGCCTATGCTGTACCCTGGGTGAGGCAACATTGCCTCAGTCTCCCTCCTTTATGGAGAGATGCTTCCAGGGGAGTGAGGGTTGCTGCTCCAGGCATTGCTGCTAGTGGTGCTGAAGGATGTGTGTACAGGAATGGCTGTCTTGCACTCTGCCTTCTACAAGTGGCAAGACAAACTCTCTTTGGTATCTGGAAGAAGAGTTGGTAAATGGATGTGTAACTTTTTGCAAGCTTCATCTAGTGTGTTATTCTGCAAATAATGATGTATTAACCATTTTGCAAATGTTCTGCAGTCCTTTCATTGTTTTTCTGACATAACTTTTCAAGGTCTTCGCATAGCTATGTAGTAGTCTTTTATGGTCTTGGCTTTAACTAGGAATCCGGGGCTGCTGAGAGAAGGTTAAGAGCTGTGGAAATCCAATTAATGAGTGTGTTAATCAAGACGCAAGCTTAATGTTTCTCTGTTTGCAGAACTAAATTTATTTTCTGGATAGCATTACAGGGAGTGAAAAATGTTCTGTATTTTACAGTTAACAGAACACAGTCAAAGTACTGCTGAAAGTTGGAAGCAGAAATCGGTGCTGGGTTGTACCTCAACTCAATACAAGACATAGCAAGCAGGTTACTTGAGCTCTAGCTCAGAGGCTGGCTGATTTCTGTGCCTTGTACAGTGTTTGTCCTCCTTCTAGTGCCTCACTGGTGTGCCCCAGAAAGGGATTCCAGATGTGGAGAATCAGACTGTTCCTCCTTGGTTTTTTGAAGATATGGTTCTTTAAACTAGGAAACTGCAATGGACCATCTCATGGAATATGACCATTGGATTATTCCCTAGTGGCTGAGACACCTGTGGCGGGGATGGATGATGCTGCCAGGGCAGATTATTCTTTTGCTCATGGTTTTCTTTGCTTGACATGAGGAGATGAATGGGAGCCATCTTTAACTTGCCATGTCCTTGGTTTGCCATTGTAGAGATTTTATTAGTGACTACAGAGAAAAAGAGGGGTCTTTAAACTTTATTCCAGTGCATGCAGATTTAAATGCTGTACACTGACTGGAAGTTCAGTACCAACAGGTGAAGAAATGCTAAATATATTGTTCTGTGCTTTGGTTTAAGTAGATGTTTCCATGTTTTCTTTTTTCATAGCTTCTTCAGCAACTGAAGCGATTAATATGTGACCTCTGCAGATTATATAATCTTCCTCAGCATCCAGATGTTGAAATGTTAGATCAGCCATTGCCAGCTGGACAGGTAAATTAAAAAGCTGTGGACACCTCCTTATGGCAGTGAAGGAGTTGTTTTTTCAACTCCAAGAAACAAGATGGTGGGAACTACTGAAGTTTTCCGTAAGCCAGAACTGAGATATGAAGCACTGTTGCTTTGCAATGTCCTCAATCTGAATTTTGTTTAATAATGATGTGGTAATATTACAGAGTTTCGTTTGGAGTTTCTGTATCATTCAAAGGTGTGTATGCAATACCAGTGCTGTCAGTTTAATTCTCTCTTAAACACTGTTCAAGCCAACGCTGGGGATTCCTAGTGCTTCCCAAATTTACTTTTTTCTGAAAAGTAAATGTGATTAAACACTTACTTGCTTTTTCTTGAAAAGTATGTTTTGTCGTGTGTGCTTGGATGGACTACTGTTGATGTTTTCCAACTTCTTCAGTCCCTTGCAGAGACATGGGTTATCAAGACCATATGCTGTGTTGGGTAGGGAGTATCTGAGGTGCCTTGTTTACTTTTTGTGCACTTGACAAATTAAGAGCTGTAAAGGGCTGTGAAATGTTGTGGTTAACCGAAATATTTTGTATTGTTCTGAAAACAGAACTGGTAACTGACAGTAGCTGTTCTTTTTTGTATTTTTAATAAGCTTATGGTATCTTCTTTTGCTTATACATGTTAAGATGACATAATGTCTAGAAACTCCTGTAGCGTAACAGATGGTTTCCTGTGGTGACAGTGCTATAGTAATGACAAATAACTTGCTTAATTTTGGTTATGTGCCAAACTGTAATCCTATAGGTCTCTTCTCTCAGCCACCCACATAGCAGTGCAACTGTAAGGCAATAGGTCTGTAATATTAGAAAGTACCTTTGCTGGAGTCTTGCTTATGCTCTGAAACTCGAAAACAAACTCACGGAATGTTTCTTAGCCAGAAATGTCAGATAATTTGCGAGTTAAATAAGTAAGTCATATCAAAGATCCATCTAGTCCCATGCATTGTCTACAGCAGTGGCATTCCTTCTTTGCCAAAGGAAGAGTAAGCAGAGCACAAGCATATCAGAATGGTCCTGAGTACTTCTGCAGCACAAACTTCCTGAGCTTGAAGTTGTATCCTAAAATGTAAAGCCATGAAAAATGAAATCAATGTGTTGATTTGGTATTTTATCAAATAATCTAATAACAGTGGCTATATGATGATAGCAGTTGTTGCACAGAAGTTAAGTTTTAGACATCTAGAGTTTGTTGTTTTTGTTTTTCAATGTCCAGCATGCGTGTGGATTCTAGTCAGAGCCACAATCCCATTTCATGGTTAAGAGATCATGAGTTACAACCCACTTGACTTATTGCATTCGTCCCTGTCTCAGAAGAGGATATCTGTGTCTGAATCTTAAGTTTCCACTTAGGACTTAATGCGAGATTGTGACATTCTTTGTATCTTTGTTTCATGCAAAAATCTCTTCACAGTCATACTACAGGAAGGCATCTTTGTGTATCTTTCACATTAAATTTCACTCCTTTGCAGACCTTGATAACTGTAACTTTCACATATACTGCTTTCTCTTGGATAGCAGACTTGCTGTTTTTGAAAGAAAGGAAAGTGTGCATAATTTATACAGAAGCGTTATTGTTGTATTGCAGAATGGAACAACAGAAGAAGTTACATCAGAGGAGGAGGAAGAAGAAGATATGGGTGAAGTATGTGTATATACGAGATTGTTATCCTAATCTAGTAGAATTCTGGAATTTGGCTCTGCAGTGGCTGGCTAATTATTAGGCCAAACTGTAAAGTGTAATATCCCTAGAGTTCACCAGAAAAGATCATTAAAAATTTGTGTGTTTACCTTGATGTCAGCTTTCACTTCAACCACAAAGCTAGTGAAATTTTCTTCTTAAGCCTAGATCTCAGCTGAGAGGTATTTGGATACAGAGGATCAGACATCTGTTTGTGCTTTAGTCAAACAATACATAACGTTGTGTGCCAAATCAGTAAGTTTGCGTTGTCAACTCCTATGTCAAGCAGCATATGAACTGGCTGTGATACAGTCAAAAGTGCCTCCCAAATTGAAGCAGACTGGCTAAGAGTAAATCAGTTTGCTGACTCATTAGACAGGTGAGTTATTTTTTAACTGTAATACATTGGAGGAAACAGAAGGACATCCGAAACAGACATGCTAAACTTGAAGGGTTTTATGTCACTGTCTGGCAACACGGTGCTCCTTTTAATCAACTTTTTACTGTGTGAAAACCACCCTTTTCAATGACTTCTACACCATGTTAGAGTAGCTCCAAGATGCTTGCTTTTTAAACCATTCTAAATAGCCTTATTAGAGGAGAACTATTCTGACTCCCTTCAGATTTAGATTTTTAATGAAGCAGGTGTGTAGTATGAATGAACAACTTGTTCTTTGGGTAGAAAGTTTTCCTTTAGAAATGATCTAAATGTTACCCATGTTCTGGAATTAATTTGAAGCAGCTTCTCTTACACCATATTTATCCTGGTCCAGACCACATTTATTGGAGTCAGAGTTTCTGTAAAGGTCGTATGTACACTCCCACATCCTGCTGGCAGAAGACTGTTGTTGCTTGCCAACTTGTAACTAGCCTTTTGCGCTCTGTTTGGGTTACTTCAGACAAAAAAATTATCATGTCTCATTATTTGTAAGCTGTCACGTGGCATTGTGTGTGGCACTGAGACCTTCAACTTGTAATCTCACCCAATTTCTTGAAAAGCAGCTTCTATGGTTCCTAGAACTATATCATTATTTTGAGAAATATGACCATTTTAAAGAATACTCAGTCTAAAGTCTGTTACAGTTGGAGGAAAGTGGTGTCAAAGGCACCGGATAGATGTGTTTCTTACTATGTAAAACATCCTTGAATTTGCATTTATGGCCAGGTTTTCTGCCATGCAAACAGATGGTGCATAGAGTAGCCATAGGTGTGGTAGAGCACTGCATATTGGAGCATATCTGGTAGTTGTCTACTAGTAGCTTGCTGGTGTGGCTGATACAGTGCTTCCTTTTCATCTCAAGGTAGTTACAGCCTTCCCATCCTCTTCACAAATAGCACTTGAATCATCTTGCAGGCAGTTGTCTTAAGTTCAGAGTGCTCCTCTGCAACAGGAGAGTCCCATCTCAGAATACAGAGTGAAAGATTTTTTTTTAGTGTCTTAGTCTAGAACTTGGAACTGAAATGTTGGCTTGTGTGATCAGAGTACTTGACCACACAATTTTTTTCTCGTATCCTAATTCCAAAATCGCTGCATCTAATCTTCAGCTGAAATGTTCCCCTTGAATAAAGTACACATAGCTTTCTAATATTTAACTTCCTTGAAGGGTTGCTGCAGCCCTGCCAGCTATGTTAATCATTGTTTAGCAGAAGGGTAATATAGCTAGGATTGCAATTGAACAGAGTCTGCTTTTAGAAACATCTTGGAGACACCCTAACTTTGGGTACTTTTGGATTCTCAAGCCCAGTTGAAAATGCCTTAGCTTCCTGTTTTCTGCCTACTTTAATGGGCTGATTCACTACAGTCTTAACTTCTCTGAGGTGTTATTGTGCTTGTTTCCCTGACCAGAAACACGTTGTGAATTTGGGTCTTGATTGTATTGTGGACATTCCCTACCCCTCCAGTGAATACTGTTGGCTGAGAGAGTGAAGTTAAGAGCAAAATAGAAGTGGCATCCAGCAGTCACTAATACAGTGCTGTGAAGTTTGCGACTGTATCCCTAAATGCCCTTGCAGAGGATTTTAATTGAACGAAGAGCATAGCTAAGTTATTTACGGTGAATTTTCCTCTATCCTGTAGGACATTGAAGATCTGGATCACTATGATATGAAGGAGGAGGAACCAGTTGATGGGAAGAAATCCGAGGATGAAGGCATTGAAAAAGAGAACCTTGCAATCTTGGAAAAAATCAGAAAAAATCAAAGGCAAGATCACTTAAATGTGAGTTAGAGATTTGTTTTTTTTTCTTTGCAGTACTTCTGGTTTTAAGATAGAAATGGTTTTCAGCAAATAAAGCCTACTGCTATGCACCTAGACATAAATTAACCTGTAGCTGACTTCCAGCATACATAGGACAAATGTGTCAGATTATGGTACCCAAATAGCTCTTTTTGGAAAAATGTGAATAGGCCAGCTGAAGTTCCAAGGTAATGTAGTAAATGGACTGACCTTTCGTCAAAATCTTTGGCACAGGAAGTGAGTTGTCAGCCACATCGCACAGAGGCACAAAACCAACTCCAAAGCACTCCCATTCAGTCTGGGAGAACGCTGTCATAATTTCTTTTGTCAAACTGGGTTGGGCTATTCTTGGCATTTTGGTTGAAGAAGCATCTTTTGGCTTTTCACTAGAGTCAACTCTTACATGCAAACCTAGGTTTCACACTTGATGATGGTGTTTAACTGGTTGTCTAATTTCCGGAGGTATGTATTTGGTCGTCTGTCTCTTGCTGGCTGCCTTTGTAACAAACAATAGTCTTCCTTGCAGAATCAGCAGAAAGCATCTAGGTTGTAAGCACGAGTTTTGTTGCTGAGCCTTTATTAAAATAACAAAGCCATATAAAAATGACTGCATTAAAAGTCATGGGTGACTTAATATGCTTAGTAAACCCAGGAATTTGTGCTTTAAATCTGCTTTATGCACGAGTTTGTTTTTCAGTAATATCTATGCCAATAGGAAATGACTGATTTTTCTTTTTTTCTTTTTTTTTTCCAAACATAAAGCAAGGGGCCTTCAGCAGCTCTGCAACTTTATTATAAATTTCTGAGCGCCAAGTTCCAGAGAAGCTTCTGCTTCTTAAAGATTTGTGTAGAAGGAAATGATGATGTCATACAACTTTAATTTTATTTACCCTGGCTTTCAAAGAAATAAAAACTTCAGTTTCACAGAGGCTTAAAATGTGTAATACGTGAAATTCATTACTTTTGTTCATGACCAGTTTCACCCAAAGGTGAGGGTTCTAAAATATTCGTAAGCCACCCGTACAGAAAGAAGGTGCTTAAATGGGTGCCCTCTACTGTGTGAGGCGGTAAGTTTTTACATGCTGTTTGGCACAGCAGCAGACACGTAGATCGTGTCCAGACACAGGATGTGCTATTTCTCTTTAAGCAAATAGTTGAGGATGTGAGCAGTAGTTAGGTACAGGGGAGGGACCTGGAAGTATTTAGGAAAGGAATAAGATTTAGGGTTGGTATGCAGGCAACACATGGACTTTTGCCCAAGGAACCAGCTTTGTTCTGTTTCTTATACGTGATGATTTTTCCAGTAAATACTTTCTAAAAAGCCTAAGTTGCACTTAAAAATTATATTAGATTCAAGAGAACTGCTGTTGTAAACATCTTTTGATTTGTAGCAATGTACGTTCAAAGTGCTCGGTGCTAGCCAAGGCATGGGTATTTCATGCACTCCTTCTAGATCCAGTTATCATAAGAATTTGAGGAAATGGATCCTTTAGTTAGCAGAATCTTGACTATTTCTTGTCATAAACTGCTGGCCTAAATAACTTTATCTAGTTTAGAAAAAAACTTCTTCCTCTTGATTACTGACACTGTAACTTGGAAGAGATTTATTTTGTAGCCATCTGCTTTGCAAAGGAAATAAAATAGAAATACTTCTGTCAGAGTTCTTCAACTGCAAATCTTCTGCTTCTGCCCTGGTGCTGTTGTAATATGACTTGAGTGCAAAACGGTCTAACATACCTCAGACTTAGGTTCTGTGGGCTAGAGGAGACTGCTCCTGGATTTGTGTATGAATTCAATAGTTGCCTGTCAGGCTGTCTGAAGGAAAGTGTACAGTCAAGATCACCTCTTAAAAAAAAAACACCCCCCCTTCCTCCCCTCAAATACAAAAAAAACCACCCAAAAAAACCCCAAAAACCAAACTTAAATAAAAAAACCCCAAACTGGTCAGCATTTCAGTATTTTAAAAGCAGGTGAAGGTAAGGTGCCAAACTGCTTTTGCTGTATAGTCAAGTCTGTTTTAAGTCTTGACTAACCATAAACGCAATGGTCACTCTACCGGTTTTGTTCAAACTTAAATGTTTGTTCGGAGTTTGAGAAGATGTCTATTGAGGTTCTGTATATTTCTGTATTTATGACTTGGACCTAATGGTAAAGACTCCTTAGTTGTTAAATAAAATAAGTCCCCTTGCAGCCTGAAAGGCATGGTGTGCTTTACCATCTTATAAAAATTTGGTAGAACTGAAAAAAGGTTTTTGCAGTGTCAAAAATTCTTCTTTGAGGTGGAAAGCCTCTTAAAACTGCGGTTCGTTCCCATTTAGCAAATACTGCTTTTCCTTTTGCTTTTTCCCTCCACGTCTTGTGGAGCTGAAATGAACACTGCTGGTTTTTTGTTTGACAACAGCAGATTCCATTTACATAATAGCTGTTTCTTGTGCCAAGATGGTCTGTCTTGTTGGTGCTGGTGCATAAACAAGGTCAGCTGAGTACAGGAACAGGGGATCCAACTGCTGCTGAGAAACCGTGGTATTTTTGTGGGTCACCAGAAATAGCTGCGCTGCTTAAATAATTTCTCAAAGGACTCGTGAGGCTTTACTCTTAAGTGCCTGAGAACTGAAAACTATAGCTGCACTACTGACCTAGGAAAGAGCTAACCTGGCAGCTTACAGGGGTATTAAGTGCTACTAAATCATGGGGCTTTTAATAGAACATGTTAAATGTGCTCTAAGATAGCAGGATTGGTTCAGTATCCTAACACAAAGCAAAATTTAAATCTTTACAGCCCTTTCCAGTGGATTTTCTTAAGGAACAGTGTGAGTTTCACAAACTTAAATGTGGTGGCTAAACATCATCTGGTTTTCAGGCAAAGTACACAGCTCTTGTGGTTTACTTTGTTTCCTCAGCAGAGGAAGGTAAAACAGAGCAATGCCACTTACATGCTTGCTGTTGGAGGAGGGAAGGTGAATCCTAATGCAGGGCTCTAACTAGTGCCCAGTGCAACCAGAAGACTTTTGAGTTTCTTTACTTGTTCTTTGGCCCAAATCCGTGGGTCATCCTCTCTCCCCTTGGCTAACGGGCAGGTTGAAGATAATGGTTCATCCTAAAGGTTTTTCCATAAGGAGTGCATTCAACCCTGTTCTCACATATTCTTAACAGGTTAAAGATATTTTTTTCTGCTCCTCAAGGTTTTTGTCATAGGGGTTTTTAGGGTTTGTGTGTTTTATACAAGTTGAGAGTATGTGTCTACTGATTTTGTGAACTAGTTCTCTTCCTTGGCAATATTCCTAATCCAATTCTTCTTGCCAGCATCAGGAAATAAACTTAAATTTGGCTTACGGTACAGTATGTAACTTGGAGCAAGAATTAATCCTCCTCTTATTGTAATAACTTTAAAGAACCACTTGCTTACTAAGGAACAAAAAAAGGTCTTTGAACTGGAATCATTAACTTCAGATATTTAACAACTTGCTGCTGCTTGCTTTTCAGAGGTCTCTCCTCACACAGTAATTTTAGAGATTAATGCTTTTCTTATTTAGATAATGCTTAGTTTTTTCCATTTCTGAGGAGTTTATGCACCTTCATTTAGAAGTCTCATATGTATCTACTTTCATCTTCAGATTTTATGAAGTCAGAGGTGTCATTTCCATTTTCAGTCTAACCCTTGAAGTGAGTATGAATCTCCTTTAACTTCCAGGAATTAATGGTACTTCTGCACAAATACTGAGAAAGTTCAGTGACAGTAGAGCAAATTTACATTTTTTTCTCTTTTTGGGTCACTTTAGATTTTATTTTATTATCTTGGAGAAGTTTCCCTTTTTTGTGTTTTGTTTTAGCCGGTAATTTTTGTTCTTGTGGCTGAATTGTCTGAAATGTGTTGTGAGTGAGGCAGTTTACAGTACTGTTTTGATGTGTGACAGTATTCTTCTGATCATTTAGGTGGTGTTGGGTTGGACTTGATGATCCTTGAGGTCTTTTCCAACCTTAATGATTCTGTGATTCTATTATTATTATACAGACAACAGATAATACAGTCTTTGGATTTAAAACTGCAGTGAATGGCACCTCCTACCTCAGATAACTCATTTAAAGAGCAGATGTGGTGGTGTTTGGAGGCATGGAAGGTGAAAAAAAAATGTCAAGGAGAAAAGCTGAGGCTGCAAAACCTCGTATCTCTGGAGACTTGGCGCAACAGACAGGCAGGGCAGTGGCGTGTACTGTGCTGATTTCTGCACAGTTAGATGTGCCCTACTGAGTTGAGAATGTAGAAGCTCAGTTCTGAAGCCTTAGTTTTCTTAGAAGTTGCTTAATCGTTCTAGAAAGCATTTCACTCAAATGTGTACGTTCGCACTAAAATGCTAATTAAGGATAAAAACACTTCTGAAAATGCCTATACTGACTCGGACCAAAGTTTCGCATTTCCGACACTGGCAGAAACACGTCCTTAGGGGGAGGAGTTTGAGAACAGGACAAGCTTATAGTGGTGCATCTCATGAAAATTTTTCATGTGCAACAGTTTTGGCTCTGGGAATTCCTGCAACAGGTATTTCTAGTATTTGCGCTTCTCAGCAAATGGCTTCTTGGCCACATAAATGTTTACCTCCTGTAGCAGGGATTTCTCCAGCTTGTCTGCTCATTGTTCTGGAGAACCGCAAGTATGCTTGTACAGGAGAGGATGATCAAGTGAGGCTTTTTGTGCCTATTTGTGCACTGAATAGGAAAAAAAGTCACTTGGAGCTTGTCTGGCGGCTCTTTTAACTTGTTCTGTTTACAGATCAAATGGCTGTGGATTTCTCCTCTTGCCATCAACCCCACAGGGCAGGTACCCATCAGATTCCATGACAGACCAGTTATTTCTAAGGCAGTTGCAACTAGTAAGTCTTGATCTCACAACTGGAGAATTGGGAGCTTTATCTCCCTTTGAGTGGTAAATCCCACTTTTCCAGGATACTCATTTATTTATATCTGAATTTGGTCTTTGAAGTTAAAACTTGCATATAGCAAGTTATTGAAAGTTAAATTTTAGTACCATTATAGTCAAAACTGAACTCACTGCTCTACTGCCATGGTGTGATGAACATAGTGCTCTCTTCTAAACTGCACTTTAACAGTAGTTAAAAACCAGAAGTGACACATCAGAATGAACTTTGTGTTTCAAAGCAGTGGTGTTTGGTGTTAAGATTACTGTCAGGTATAGCAGTTAATCTCTGCAGGCTTCCTCTTCAGCTTCCTCCAAGGGTAGTTCCGAGCATGTGAAGTAAGCTCCTGTGTAAACTTCTTAGGTTAAGCTTGCTAGCCTCTTTCTCTTGATCATAGATTACTGGTTTGAAGTCTATTGATTCTTTAGAGTAGCAAGTGTAACTATATTTAATACTGCTGTATAAGTTAGAGTGGGCAGCCCAAACAGAAACTCTTTGGAAGAAAGGGTGGAAAAAACTGTTAGACAAAGTCTACTCAGGCTAGGTTACACACACTAAAATTGATTATTTTTTTTTAAATACCAGTTCAGTATATCAGCAGTTATTGTGGCACTCAGGAGTACATGGGTGTGTTAAGTTTTGCTTTTTATTTTACTGCCCTGCAGAAGATACTTAAATTTTCATATGCAAAGGTAAGCTTCCAACATTATATACAGAAATTCATTAGTTTAATTTGATGGAAATAAAGATGCAATGAGGAAACTAGTTTTTCACAGGGATGCCTTTGAGAATCTAATTTGTTTTTAAATTTCCTGTATTTAGAGGTTGATATTCTGTGAAAAATGTGAGAAAATTCCTTCTTTCAGTAAGCAATACAGGAAATGAAGCAAGGGTATTACAAGCGAAAATCTTGACACTTCTTTTTTGTGGCCTCAACACATTCATGAGTCTCAACCTTAACACAGTACAGGTCTGAGAAAGCACAGCAGTTGGTTGCAGAGAATGGTGGTTAACGCTACATGGTTAACTTGTCTAGTGTGGTGCTTCTTTTCCAGCTAATCTGCAAACAGAGGGTATAAATAGTAGTAATCTGCAAATAATGTATATAAACAACCAGATTTTTTCCATAAAAATTTATTCGCTTGCTGGTAAAGGAGGAGAAATCCTTTCTCTACCTGATGCTGCTCTATAGACGGGGGCTTCAGTAAACTGAGAAATTACTTCTCTGGAGCCCTGTCTTTATGTAGCTTTTGTTTAATCAGATGAAAGGAGTTGCCTTTTATTTGCATGTTTAATTACAGAGTTGATTCTTAGTACTGGTCCGTTAAGAAAAACTAGTGGAATTTCAGTCATCTGCATAATTAAATTCAGTGGAATATGAAAATGAATAGCCTAAAAGAATAGTCTACAGATTACAGTGTGAAGCTCAGCATATTATAGGATGCTACTCATCAGAGAAGACAAAAGGAGCACGTGTAGGCTTTAGCATCAAGTAACTGTACTGATATTGAATCACCGAATGGTTGAGGTTGGGAGGGACCTCTGGAGGTCATCCAGTCCAACCCTGCTGCTCAAGCAGGGTCATCTGGAGCATGGTGCACAGGATTACATCCAGGTGGGTTTTGGATATCTTCAGAGAATGAGACTCCACAACCTCTGGGCAACCTGTTCCAGTGCTCTGTCACCCTCCCAGGAAAGTAGTTTTTCCTCATACTCAGGTGGAACTTCCTGTATTTCAGTTTGTGCCCGTTACCTCTTGTCCTGTCACTGGGCACCACTGAAAATAGTCTGGCCCCATCCTCTCGACACCCTCCCTTTAGATATTTGTATATGTTGATGAGATCCCTTCTCAGTCGTCTTTTCTCTGGGCTGAACAGGCCTATCTCTCTCAGCCTTTCCTCGTAAGAGAGAGGATATTTCATCCTTACTAAGAAATAATTTGATCCTACAATTAAGACCTTGTAGAACATATAATATCACTGTTGACTTCAGGCAAGCAGGGATCATGTTTCGGGTATTAACAATGGTCATAGCTGCTTCACATTCCTCCAGAAATACTCCTCTGACACTTCTGTCCAAAAGGGATCTGTCTGTAAATGTTCATAGTGTCTGAAAGGAAACAAGAAACTCTCTTCAGATTTTTAGATGGAGCAGAAAAACAGACCCATAAACTAGTCATTCAGTACTTCTAGGTGGGGGCTGCTTTGTGCTCTTTTTTGTTTGTTTTTTTGTGGGTTTTTTCCCTTCTGAAACTACGCTTATGAGCCATATGTATTAGCCTATATTTCAGGGGGAGTGACTGAAGTCCAAGCAGTGGCAGAGAACTGCATGGGTCTCATTGAATAGTCCGCCTTTGGGAAACTGCTAGTGAAAGCCGAAGTAGCGTTGGGGCTCGGGGTGGTAGCTGCTTTACTTCCTGTGGAGTCCTCACTGCTTTTACAAGTTTTAAATCTTGTAACACTAATTTTTAACTCTGTTTTCTAAAAAATCTTGAACGTAAAATGGTATAAGCAGGGTAATCCTGTGACATCTAAGACTTAGTATCAAAATCTTTCCTGCTAGCTTTGGCATTCAACTGGAGAGAGTAATCTAGGTACTTTTGGTGATCATGTTGTTCTAAATAAACACTTTAATTTTTTTTGAGAGCAATAAGTTCCATCGTCACTTTTAAAGCTCAGAAAATTGGGGCAAAAGTTGAGACCAAGGTCACAGAACTGCCAGCATTGGGGATATGTGCAGAATTGTTGATATAAGTAGACATAAGTTACTTGATAACTGCTATGCTCATTAGTTTGTCAGTAACTGTGGTCTTTTAGAGCCAGTCATAATTTATATGCATGTCACTTAAAAGTATCTATTTTTTTTTCCTTTTTTTGATTTAGCCAAGTGTATCAGGCTGAAATACCCAGTTCAGAAATTGTATGCTAATTTTTCTGTCACTTTGAGATGCTGCATAACACAGAACTGAGCTCTGAAAGAACAGAACAGGTTTCTGCCCTGGTTGCATAAACCGCAAGAACTGTGACAAATCACAACAAAATATTTTGGTATTTTAAATTCTGCTTACCTTAGTATTCCTCTGTGTAGGTGATGACTGATTTTTTCCACTCTGTTGCAAATAATAGTGTTGCTTTTGTTCTGCATTTCTAAATATATTGGTTTGTCTTACTTCATCTAGAAGCTGGTGTTCTGTGGTGGATACTTCCCAACTCCTGTTCTATTATTTGTAACCAAATGAAAATATACTTCAGAGAAAACAGTTAAACCTTATGTGCAGAAGCTTGTTTGTAGGATTAGTCTTATTCTTCTTTCCAGTGCATAAGATCAGAAGGTAAAAGGAAGTATTTCCTTAATAGAAATGTACTCTGGATCCATCTTGGAAATAAAAATGACCAAGAAATTGAACTCCTTTACAGAAAAATATGTTTGTCGCTGTACCTTGGTTGAAAATTTGGATCACCTATACCATGTAGTAGTATATAATAATGTGCTGCTTTAGAGGGAGTGTCTTGTTTCTTCTGAGTGGTCTTTGCTCACTTGAATATGTAACTTTTAAAAAATCTAATGCTAATACAGAAATTAATATATACTTATACCTTCCAGTTAGTGTAACTTTGTGATGGAAATGAAGCTGTTTGATGTAAATATTACTTTCTCTTATTTAGAGTCTTTTTTTCTTTGTTTCAGGGTGCAGTCTCTGGGTCAGTTCAGGCTTCAGATCGACTTATGAAAGAACTCAGGGATATATATAGATCACAGAGTTATAAAACAGGTAAAATGCTTCAGATTTCCCTTCTTAAAATACACTTTTAAAGAATTCTTTTGGCAAATACTTCCTACTAATCCTTCTGTGCTTTGTTGTCATATGTGTGTATATACATGTGTGTTTGTGTATATATGTGTGCACATATATAAAAAAATAAAAATACATAGATGCATTAAATATAAACTCATTGTATGAAACAGTGCATTTGTGGAGAAGAAGGAAGTCAGGATACACATCCTCTAAAATATTCTTCCTTTTTGTTATGCAAAGCTTCATATGAGAGTTAACAGGATTGGTGTAACTATGAGAGTGCTCTTGGGGGGGATGACTACAAAGAACAACTCAAGATTACTCCTGTGGGACTTCTTGAGTTTTCAGAACTATCTGAAATTCAGCTCTCCAGGTATACAGGGCAAAAGCTTTGACCACTACCAGTGAGTAGTACTGCTCACAAGAATATGCTTGCTGTGAAGGGATTTGTGTTCATCTGCGGAAGGTTTTGTTATTATACAGGATTTAACCTTACTTATGCTGCTGTTGCTTGCATTATTTTGTGATGGTGTTAATCTGATCCTGAGCTCCATGTATTCTTTCAAGTAAGGATACAAATAGAAATAGAAAACAAGCTTGTCTTTTAAATTTGTTTGAATAACAAACACTGATAGCTTTAGGTAGGTAGATGGTTGGCTGTTCTATTTGCTCCGTATAAGGGCTGTATCTAAACTAGCTCAACCAAAAAAAAATCAGTATATTGACTTCTCTGAGTTTTACACTTCAAGAAGTAGAAATTACACAGCTTTCAGGCAAGTTGTATTCCTGTAGGTCAGCTGAGTAGATAACAATCACTACAGCCAGATACGAGACCCTGGTGCAGGCTAGGATGGGAACAGGAGGAAAGTCCAATTAGCAAGTCGGTGTAAACTTTAATCCTCTAGCCTTTACTTTTCTGAACTTCTCCCCTAGTTTATTTCTAGTGGGCTTAAATCTCACTTGGTGACTATGGCATTTCAATATGTGTGTAAAAGGACAGTTAGAGGACAATAGGCTCCTGTTTTGATTTCCTGTATTTATCTTTTAGGTAAATAGTTTTATGTGCTGAGGTACTGTGGGCAGTGCTCAAGTGTCTGAAGTATAAATTTGATTAGGTAGTGTTGATCTAACACAGCCTACTTCTTTTAGGTTTTATTGCAACTGAGTGCTTTCCGGTATGCCCTGATCACCATCTATCCGGTAAAGAATGGATTAGTGGGTCTAAGGAAGAGCCTAGAGATAGACCTGTATTAAGTCATGAGGGATGCTTCACTGCCCATGTACAATCTTCAAGGTTTATAGAATCATAGAATGGATTGGGTTGGAAGGGCCCTTAAAGATCAGGGAGTTACACCCGCCTGCCATGGGCAGGGACACCTCCCACTAGCCCAGGTTGCTCAAAGCCTCATCCAGCCTGGCCTTGAACCCCTCCAGGGATGGGGCATCCACAGCTTCTCTGGGCACCCTGTTCCAGTGTCTCACCACCCTCACAGTGAAAAATTTCTTCCTAATATTTAATCTAAATCTGCCCTCTCTCAGCTCAAAACTGTTACCCCTTAACCTATCACTGCACTCCCTGATCAAGAGTGCCCCCAACTCAAAGCCTCATCCAGCCTGGCCTTGAACCCCTCCAGGGATGGGGCATCCACAGCTTCTCTGGGCACCCTGTTCCAGTGTCTCACCACCCTCACAGTGAAAAATTTCTTCCTAATATTTAATCTAAATCTGCCCTCTCTCAGCTCAAAACTGTTACCCCTTAACCTATCACTGCACTCCCTGATCAAGAGTGCCCCCAAATCCCTCCTGTAGCCCCCTTCAGGTACTGGAAGGCTGCTCTAATGTCTCCTCAGAGCCTTCTCTTCACCAGGCTGAACAACCCCAACTCTCTCCGCCTGTCCTCATATGGGAGGTGCTCCAGTCG